TGACAGCTGTGAAAATGGCCAAAGAGCAGCAGGGCCCAGGTGCAGGATCAGTGTCCCAGCAGCTGATGAACCTGTGCATCCAGGGCACAACGTGACACTCGAGCTCCTCCTCGCCAGCGACGTGGCAGGCTGAGAAAGCAACATGAAGATCTGCTGTGCCTCCAATACACCAAAAAAAATATTGTAGCTGCAAATCTACCTGAGAAACCCAAATCAGAGACAGAGTTCGAGACACAACTTTGCAGATTTCCATTCAATCTAATAAATCCTCATCTGTGTGTTCCTGTGCCCCCATCACAGAAACACCTCACCAAACAGAACCCAGCTCTGAGCAAAGATGAGCTAACACAGTTTAAGTGAAAAATATGAGGCCTCTGATAGTTATCTTGCCCTGTCCCTTGCAACGTTTGATCTCCATGTTGCTTTAAAGGAGTCCAGAATCACATACTGGGCTTGTAGTAGCTTAGGAAATCTTTCTACTTTCCTCTCATTACAAGTCCTGGGTACAAGGGCAATGCTTGGTTCAGTCAGGAGTTTTCTTTGTTTGCTGTTTAGGTTCTAATGTTAAAAAATTGCTCTTAAAACTCAGAGGGCAAATGTTTCTCCAGTGAATTTTTAGTTTCAAAGAGATCCCACTGAAAAAATGAGTCTCAGAGCTGAAGAGCAGCACCTGCAGTGGCACTGGAACAGCTTTAACCAAATCAGTCACATGCTCTGTTATTCCTGTCCCCCAGGAAAAGGACCCTTGGCTGCTGCTGATGTTGTCAGCATATTTTGTCTTTTGAAAGTTTCCCTGCATTCCTCCTCCCTCTTTGAATTTTCTATTCTTTATTTCTTTAACCTAAGCCTTTTCTTCAAGGAGACAGATTTGGGTGAAACAGGTGAACCCAAGAGACTGGAATAGGTTTAAAACTAGGTTAAAATAAGGTTTATTATTGACAAAGAGCAGGTTTAGATTGGATATTAGGAGGAAATTCTTCCCTGGGAGGGTGGACAGGCCCTGGCACAGGTTGCCCAGAGAAGCTGTGGCTGCCCCATCCCTGGCAGTGTCCAAGGCCAGGTTGGATGGGGCTCTGAGCAACCTGGGACAGTGGAAGGTGTCCCTGCCCATGGCAGGGGGTTGGGATGAGATGATCTTTAATGTCCCTTCCAACCCAGGCCATTCTATGATTCTATGATTTTCTGAACCTGAGGGTATCAGCAGCTCTCATCACAGGCTGCAACCCCTCTCTCCTCCACAATACCTAAGAAAATTCAGACCCCTTAAAATGACAGAAACACTCTCTGTTCAGAAAACAAAACCTTTTAGGGACTGGTTCTGCTTTGACTGGGAGCTCTGCCAAGGATCTCAGCTGGAGGAGGAATGAGGCCCCTCATTTCGAGTTCCTCAGAGCAGGCACATTGCAGCAACTGCTCGTACACGCTGCGGTCCCGAACCCAGTGGGCTGTGCTTACCTCATTTGTTTCACGTAGGTGAACTTAGCCAGGATGTTTTCTTTAGTCGTGGGCAGTGTGACAAGAATGGGACATCCAAATAAGGTCACTCAGGATGTGTTTAACAACAGCGGGTAAAGTCTGTGGCAAAGGCTTGTGCACACGCACACACACACGGAGCATCCACTGCACAGACCCTGGGCTTAGTGCGTCATTATTCCTAGAATAACCCCTGGAGAGGCACTCCACCCTTGTGCTTCCAACCCTGAAGATGTGATTGCCCCAGGGCCACTTGTCACGGTGATTTTAAGGAAGGGGAGGCAGAGGGAAGGGCCCCTGATTTCTGCCACCTCTTTCGGAGAGATGCAACCCAAAGAAAATCAGTAAAGGCAGAGGCGGCTCCAAATCTGTCCACCCAAACTGCCCGGTGATCTTTGGAGCTTCCTGAGGCCAGCACGGACCCTGAGATAGCAGAGAATCCTGCAAAAGGGCAGACCACACACCTGTTTAAATATAAGGCAATGCACTTTATTAAGCAAGAGTGCTGCAGGTGCTCCTACGTGCTGAAAGGCAGTCCAGCACCGCGAGGAACGCGTGGCTTTGCTCGTAGGGGAATCCGGGAGGGCAAATCCATTTTGCTGAGCAGAAAACTCCTTTTTATTAACCTGCAGATTTCTGATGGTCCGCAAACTACTTCCAAGGGGTCTGCAAAAAGGAACTGAGAGCAAGCCACCTGTAGTATCTTAAATTTGCTGTGATAAAAAGCTTGCCTTTACTTGTAAGTCCTCTGCAGATGATTTAAAGTGATAAACAATGAAATTAAGGAGTTGCTTCCCTTTCAGCAGCACAAGGGATGGCAGACACACAGTTGCTGAAATAAACGGGGGTTTTACAGTCTGAGATGGTAAGTTTTGATTGAAAAATGAGCTGAAGCTGAAACACAAAGCAGTCAGAATGGGGGGATTCAGACCCCAGGCTGCTGCCCTGAGCCTCAGTTCCTTCTGTGCACAGTTTTGGGTATAATTTACAGTTAAATGATCATACCAGCAAAGCATGAGCATCACAGGTGTTACAGCTGAGAACTGAGAAAAGCCACCTCAACTCATCAAACATCACAGAACAATACAGAAACCTGAAAGAGCAATATCACCAGATGTGGTAAAAGTGGCAGAAATATTATTCCTGATGCATCAGCATAATAATGCAAGACAAAAAGGGTTGTCATCACTTCTGTTAGACCAACAGGCATAGCTGGAGAAGTAAACAAGCTTTCATACACCTGGTTACTCCATCAACAGCTGAATGTGTAGGAGAAGATAAGAGAAATACCAAAAGAAGGAATAAATGGATCGACCTGAAATAACAAAGAAACGCATTGTTAAAAAAAAACACAACACAAGAAACCCCAAACACATGCAGTGGGCATTTATAGGTGTAACATAAACCAAACCAAAACCTGTGAAAAAGCAAAATTTGGATTATCATCCTCACAAGCAGAGACTTGAATAAATTCACATTAGCCCAGCAGCTTTAACAGAACTTGGGGAAGTCTGGAGTTTTGCTGACCCAGTGGGAAACTTTTGGAAGTGCCAAACAATTCAAGCACGTCAAAGTAATCTCTGCATCTTTGACATATATCAAAAAGAGAAACAGCTGCTCACAACTGGAGTGTGTTTAAATGAGGTTGAATCGATTTTTTGAACATCTGAGAACGTCTCCTCTGCCACCAAGACACTGGAGGGAGATCAGGTCAGTGCATGATGTCAAACCCAGGGAAGTGTCATGGTGAATACGAAATATCAACCCAGAGAAATGGCATCCACTAAAGAATCATGAAATATTCCAAGAGGACACACTGATCTCTGGCAGAAGCTTTTACAATTGCTCCTGAATCCATACCCACATTTCCACGGGAGTCTAAATAAATGGGACAAAATAAAACCATGGAAAGCAAAACAACAAAAACCTCCAACGCTTGTTTTAATATCAGAGTGAAAAATAGGGGGGGATAAATTCAACAATAAATAGAGATAACGGTTTTAACAGGAAAAGAAAAAGCAACCCCCCTTTCCTTAGCAGCTATCTTTTAAATTAAAGCCTTTCAGATGCTATAACCAGTAAAATACCTGTAGCCTGGACTGTCTGTCAGGGAAGATGGTTTGAAGATCTGACCCTTATACGCTTTGGCTCAAAAGTGCTGTCATTTACACAGGTGGATATACAGTGATGCAAGCCCCTGGATTTACACAGGTGTGGTAGTAAGAATTTGGCAGGGTTTGGATAATTTTAAACAATTAAAAAAAAAAAAAAAGACCCACACCAGATTCCCTGTTGCACTGGGTTACGGTTGTGTCAATCCACTGATGCCATCAATCCATGATGGTGCTCCTCAGTTTTACGTTAATTTTTGAAAGGAATCTTGACACAGTCCTGTGTTAACAGAACCTGCTACTCCTACGATTTCCCCCATACACAGTGTCCCATTAGCACGGCACTTTCCTACAATAAATGGAACCACAGCTGTTTTTAAAGCAGAAGATTTGTTGGTAAAGGCACAGAACATTGGCAGGACAACTGAGAAGCAGGTCTTGTAGCATTTTTTACACCACTGTTACTTTTTAGCTTGGTCCCTTCCAACTCAGGATATTTTATGTCCCATTGTAGCTCCTCCAAGCTGTTGCCTGTTGTACCTGGAATAATAAAAATGTGCTGATTTGAGTGATCTCAGGTTTGATTCAGACCCCATAACTACTGCCCAAGCCAACCTGTATGACTGTAAAACTGCCAGCCAGATCTGCAATGCAGGAACAAACATCCATTTTTTAAGTCTTTTGCACATAGTTTTCAGCTGTTTGGCCAACTTCAGATACTTAGGTCACTCAAAACGAAGCAGGAGAAACAAAAAGGAATAAAAGTTTGTTTGAACTGGGTTGTGGTCTTATCAAGTTCCCTTTGCTTAAATGCAGTGACACAAATATCACCCCAAAAGGTTTGGTGTGGAACTTACACCATAATTAAGGGGGGATCAGGCCCAGGGCAACCTAATAGTAGCTTCTGATATATTTGCAACAAAATTTCAGCTCTGTTCAATGTGTTTGCTAAATCAGAATGCAGTTTGGAAACTCTGAGGGGAGGTGGGAATCTGAATAAACATGCCTGCAAAAAAAAGAAAGATAATTCAGGTCCGAAGGGTCATTCCCTTCAGTTCAAGTGCAGTGGACTGCCTTTCCTGGATCCAGCAGTAGGGGCGTGGGAAGCTTTCAGATGTCACAGGGTTGTAGATAACATGTGAACATATGATTAGCTTTCGTGAGCTGTCTTTAGAAACCTTACATTTTTTCCCCCACACACCTTAGCCGGAGATCCCTCCCTTGAGGTTTCGGGGCACTTAAAATGTTGCTTTGCCAAAAATCAAGGATGTGGAGAAGGTTTTCCTGTGTGATGTCATTTTGCTGCCCTTTATAAGCCTCTGCAGGGAAGAAGGGAACCTATCTGAGGATCCACACTCCGGCACGAGGGCGAGCGAGGAGCGCGGAGGTGAACCCAGCCGCAGATCCCGACCAAGCATGGAAGGGCGATCCGTGGCACCCTGCAGCTCCCTGCTCCTGGTACTCTGCAGCCTGAAGGCTACCTTTGCCTTCCCCAACTCCTCTCCACTGCTGAATCCCAGCTGGGGGAACGGGGACCGCCTGATGCACCTCTACACGGACACGGAGAGGAGCAGCTTCCACCTCCAAATCAACGCCGACGGCTACGTCGATGGTGCCCCCACCAAACCATCTACAGTGAGTAGCTTCCTGTGGATCCTCAGCCTTCAGGGGAGCAGGGGAGGGAGAACAACTCTTTCACTTTCTCACTACCTATAAAAAAATCCACTCTTCTCCTTGGGCAGGCAGACGAGCATGGCTACGAGATGGAAAACATTTGTCATTATAATCCTCCTTTTGTTTAGCAAATAAAATCACTCCAGAGAAATCTCGTGGATGGGGAAATTCAGTGGAGTCCTTTGCTTCCTCTGCAAGCAAAAACTACCTGAATTATCCTTCATGATTTTACCCACAGCTTCTTGTGGGAGTTCCTATCAGAGATTAGGGATGACATCCCCCAAATAAGTGCTTCCCGTTGCAGTGATGGTGTTCCCAAGGGAACCTCACTGAGGGAACTCACTACTCTAACTAAAAGGTCCTAAAATTCTTTCCTCATAATTTATTTCCTCATAATATATTTTATTATATACTTACTGTGTATTTTATTACGTGCTTATTGTATATTTTATCATTCTATTTAAACATAGAAGAATTTACCATCTTTCTTCCTTTGCTAAATGCTTGACCCAAACTCTTTAGTTAGTAGAAAAATGGTGGGTTTTTCAAGACTTGGGGTACTTTTATAGCATTTCAAAAGTACTTCTGTCTTGGCAGCACTCAAATCACAAGTAGGTAGGAAACATGAAGTTAAGTTATTCTTACTATTATAGTATTTCTTCATACACTCAATTAAAAATGTAAGCACACATAACGGTGGTTTTGAATAATATATTTGCAGCATATATAAGGATAAAGTCATAATTTAATCAAGGAGAAAAAAGGATGATGTTCTTCTATTTTTTTTTAAGGAATTGCTAAGGAAACACTTGCAGGAATGCTTGCACTGTCTTGTTATTCTTCCTGCATAATTAAAGATTTTATAAAACTTATTTTAGGTATGTTGGTCAAGAACAAGTGTGGGATTTTAGAGAGCAATGGGCAGGAAAATGTCATCAAATCAACCGGAGCTTGGATTTGACGTCTTGTTCTTCTAAACAGGTGCCCTGATGATCAGGTCTGAGGGAGCTGGCTCAGTGATAATCACAGGGGTGAAGAGTGGACGTTACCTCTGCATGGACATGAAAGGAAACATATTTGGCTCGGTGAGTGACCCCTGCTAAGCCTCAAGGCTGAAGGGCTGCTGTGCTGCCCAGGTGGGGAAAACCAAACCTGTGTAGGTGCAGACTTAAGAGAGGATGTGCCACTTAGGTAATACTTTCCTTTCCTTTCCTCTCCTCTTTGATTGTACTGAGTTGTAGAGCTGACAAAAATCATCTGAGATCCTACTTGGGCAAACGAGGGCAAAGTGAGATGCAGTGATGGAGCAGTCAGAATTCCTGCTGTAGCACAGAGCCACGGGTTGGGACCCTCTGAAAGAAAACAGTGTTATCACTGAAACACCTTTGCTGAAAACATGGGCACGCACCTCAGATCTCCTGGGTTGTCCCAGTTACAGCCCTGGGAGATTAGAAAGCGAGATCTCATCCCTCTTTCCCCCTTTAATCTGTGCCAAATCCCTCTGCTTACGGGTGTCATGTGTTTTTTTCCCCCCTCAGCATTACTTCAGCCAAGAGGACTGCGTGTTCACCCACAGGACGCTGGAGAACGGGTACGACGTGTACCAGTCTCCCAAACACGGCTTCCTGGTGAGCCTGGGCAGGGTCAAGCAAGCTTTTCACCCTGGCACGAACCCGCCACCGTACTCCCAGTTCTTGTCCCGGAGGAACGAGATCCCCCTGTTCCGCTTCAACACCCCCGAGCCGCACAGGAACACGAGGAGCGCGGACGTGGATCCCGCGGATCCTCACCAGGTCCTGGTCCCGCAGAGGAAGGCCTCGGGGCCGGGCTCTGCCCCTCAACAGGGAGCACACTTCCCCCACGTGCCCCGGGAGCCCGTGAGGATCAACCAGAACGACGTGGTGAACCCCGACGACCCCCACGCCATGATGGAGCCCCGCAGGTACCCCAGCCCCCGCTTCCACATGGCGGGGTAACGGGGACCCTGCAGAGCGAGGACAGAGGCAAAGGGACCCGCCTGACACACTCCCAGTCTGAGTGGCCAACGGGAAACGTGGGGAAAAGCCCCTTACAGTTCAAATTTTGTACTTAACAGGTGCCAACGTTACTGACAAAGCAAGCCGGACTTTCCCAACTGGGGCTCTGTGGACTGGAAAGATGTATTTTTTTAAAGAATAATAGAAATCAAACCTTTTAGGGTCCTAATCGCCTTAAGTTTGCATAAATGGGAAAAAAAAAAGAAAAAAAAAGGGAAATGTCTTGAATGAAGTGAGAAATTGATGTTATGTTGCTAATATAACTGGGAAGAGACCTGGGGCATCTGACATTCCAACAGAGACAGGGAATCCTCTTATTGCACTGTCCCTGAGTGTTCAAACACAGCAGACAAACTGTCTGGCAGTGTGTGATATTATTAGATAAAATACTACTATATATGTAGTATATCCATTGTCTGAAGGGGCCTACAGGGAAGCCAGAGAAGGATTTTCTTTCTGAGTAACTTCTTCAGGAGGAACTGTAGTGACAGGACAAGGGGATGGCTTCAAACTGACAGAGAGCAGGTTTAGGTTGGATATTAGGATGGAATTCTTCCCTGGGAGGGTGGGGAGGCCCTGGCACAGGTTGCCCAGAGAAGCTGTGGCTGCCCCATCCCTGGCAGTGTCCAAGGTCAGGTTGGATGGGGTTTGGAGCAACCTGGATTGGGATGAGATGATCTTTAAAGTCCCCTCCAACCCAAACCATTCTGTGTTTTTAGCTTTTAAAAAATGGTCAAAAAATGACCACTCTGCTGTTGTAAGAGCACCACGTGGAAAACAAGTAAGGGACAGGAGAACAGGCCAGGATTAAATGGTCTTGTGTAAAACGAGCAATTTTGGACACTTTCTGAATCCAAGATGAGGTTTGAGAGAAAAAAGAGTCTCACTGTCTGTCAGGTGCTTCACTATCACAGTTCTACACTCACTGAATTGTGGCATCACAATGTGGAAATGTAATGTAAAGATCATCAGTTTTGCATCTTCCCAACCCAGAGAGAAGTACCAGGATTACTAATAACCAATAGTGTGGGGCAAGATGGTTTGTTTTGCATACTGCTGAACTACACAGGGGGAGAAAAAAAGCAAAAATTTATGCCTTTTAAGTGCCAAACTGTTAACAGTTTGACTGTAATGAAGGTTCTCATCTAATGAGTGAAAATCAGGTATGTATTTAGAAAAGGACCATCTAATTAGCATCCATGTTTCTATCCAGTTCAGAGCAGGTATCAGATGCTTGATATTTGTAAGAGTGAACTGACCATTAATCAAGAGATCTCTCGTTGACAGAACTTTTCCCCTGGGTTGGTTTATGCTATGGGTAAGTTTACTTGGAAAAAGTTATTTGTGATGCAACTCTGCAGAAATCAGTTCACTGAAGTCACTGGAGTTACATCAGTGCAACAAAATCAAAATAAGCCCCCCCACAATGTTTCCTGTGTTTACTGGAATTTTTCTGGATTTAGCACAGGGTCTGTCCTGCTGACAGCATTTAAATAATCCCTTTTTCCCTCCCTATATATGTATAAATACATGATATCTCTTTACCTATAACATTCAACTCATGTTAGAAAGTCATAGGTCCTGGTACTGCTTTCAGAACTCCTTTCCTACCTGGAGTGACTCCTAATTCATGTAAATGCTCAGGAGCACAGGACAAGCCAAGTGATTAAGATTAGACCAGAAGTTCTGTCTCATCATTTGTTTTCCTAAACTCATCATGGTTTTGATTAATTTCTGAAGGAATTCAGGAGAATTGCAGGCAGGTGGAGAGTTGTGCTTTTTCTTGATTATTCAAAACACAGCAAAGAATTTTTACCTTGCTATCTGTTGTACAGTGGAGAGGTGTGATTTTATTTAATAACTTCACTTGATTTCTGTTCTGGGCTTTTGCTCCCTGAGAACTCTGGGCTTCAAGTACAACAGCAAAGTTTGCATTTTGCATAAATTGTTGGAAGCTCCACAGGGCTCTCTGGGACTCCAAGACAAAGGACCTACAGAAATTTGAATCTCTGTCCATACTAAACTTTGCTGAGAAATGTGGGGTTTAATCTCTAAACCATCTTTATATCCATACCTTAGAACAAAGTGAGCAGGTTGCTCACTCTCTCAGTAGCCAGGGGATTTAGTGCCTAAAAGCTAAGACTGAGTACACAGTGGATTTTGCATTAAAAAAATGTATTTGTAGCTATAGACAATTGTATCAAAATGTCAAAAGAATTAATTCTTCAATGGAAACGCTGGCAATCACCAGCTGGTAAGAAAGGTATTACTTATTTATGTTGCAATATTTATTTATTTATTTGTGCGGGTCTTAAATCCCGCAGAATATTTATAAATATTTATAATAATGTATTATAGAGACTATTTCCTTTTATAAAAGCACCAATAAACTTTTCATTCTCTCCAAATTGTGAATTCTGCTTTGTTTGTTTAACTCCCCCATTCTGGAAGGATTTGAGTCTACAACTTATTGATGATGAACAATTTCTCGTGAACATTCCTAAATTTTATTCAAAGCCATTACAGAAAAACAGCCCCATGAAAAACTTAAATACTGATTTTACTCAAGCTCACTGCTTCACCTTGGACATTACCACTTACTCCTATGCCCAATAACTGCTTGCATACCTACTTCATCTTTTTTTATCTCCTAAGTAACATTTACTTTTTCCAGTTAAGCTTATGGCATTGTGTCAAGTGTTTAATTAAAATTCACCATATTCCATCATTTTTCCCTTGTCTATACATCAGTTATTTCACCAGAGAACCACTCACATAAGTGTGAACTACTTATGGTAAAAGCTCAATTATATTCCAGGTTTCATTTGCCTCTCTTGTCTGTAATTATATTCTCCTTCAGAGTTTATTCTACAGCCCTGAGTGTTATTAAGGTCAGACTGACAGTCCTGTAAGATTACTTTGTTCTCAAATAAAAATTACTTTATTTCCCATTCTCTAGTCATATGGTTCCACACCCAGTTGGACAGATCTATTTAAAATACTTCCTTACAAATGTCTAATTTTAGATGTGTTTTATTCTGGGATAAAGATTAGCAATTTCATCTGACACGAGAATACTAAATGCTTTCATTCTTGGCTTTAAAAGGGAAGAGGAGGGGCCAGAACTCTCTGCCAGAGCACTCCCCTGATGGCTGCTGGAGGTTGGGCAGACCTGTGAGATGATGGTGGTGGAGCAACACTGAGGAACATGAGCTGCCACGAGCTTTGAACTCCTCTTTTTCTCTCCTGTCACCTTTTCCAAACCAAGCCTGGCCTGATAAAGCACTGACTAAACACGAACCACTTCATCAAAAGAGGCCAAAACTCCCCTACCTTTTGAAACATTATTTTTTTGGAAGCAGAATACCACTGGGCTCTTCAGCAAACAAAACATCAACTTAGAAAGGAGGGGACTGAGTTTCCTCTTGGTTTTGGTGTTCCCCACAGCCACCTTTTCTTCTCTCCTGATGTTCAGATGAAAAAGCCTGCCAAGACAGCTTTTATTTTATTTTAACCTTCACCAGTTTCCAAACCAATTTTCAAGCACACATCAGTTCTGCCAGATCTGACTACAGTCAGATAGGCAAGCTGAGAAGTTTCTAACATTTATTTCAGCACCACCTTCCTAGAAAGGCGTTCCAAAGGAATGGAAGATTTTCTTATCACCCAAGGTTCTCCTGATCCTGGTAGTGTGTGTGACAGCTTGATCTGCTTTCTCTGCCTCTCCCACATCTTGGCAGCTACTGCTGAAAATCCACCCTGTAGTTAAGGCCTTGTCTCCTGCTGCTAATTAGAGACTGGCACATCACAGGGACAAAACATCCATTGCCCACTACTGAGTAATCCCTCAAATATTTATGTTCTGTTACTATTCCTAACAGAACCATCTATCACTGCAGGCTCTCCTTTCCCATGATCCCAATAAACTGTGTGGATTTACTGTACAGATGCACAAGAGTCACTTGATTAAAAAAAGCAAGAATTAAGATTTAGTCTCTGTGTCGATGTACAGACCTGAAAAGAGCAGCACTGGACACAGACCTAAAGAAAACAGGGGTTAGAATTAACTTCAGAAGCTTCCAGAATTAGTGGCCTTTTATTGCTTAGAGAACCTTACACCTGGCAAAACAAAGGTGAAAGAACTACATCAGGGTAGGCTATAAGATCATCTAGGCTGGTACAATGGTCTCCTACAATGACAAGTGCAGATAAATAAGGAAAAAAATACAACAGGGCATCTGCAGAACACACCTGACTGCTTGTACTCCCCTGGCCACTGGCAGATGTGTTTGCACCACTTTAGTGTGTTTTACGAAGTGTGAGCTGGGAGATTCTGACTCGTAAGTTTTTCACTGGAAAGTAAATGTTACTCCATTAACACAGGAGCTGTTTAGAAAACTGGAATGCTTTCACCCTGGGGTATTTTTCATCCCACCACCTGCTTGCCCCGTGTAACAGTTACCAAAAGAGACAATTATTTGCTAACAATAACTTCAAGAAAACAATCCTACAGATGTGATCCTATTTCTTGGCATGGGTCTAAATTTTAACCACCCTTAGAGAAGGCAAAGTGTATTAGAGATAGAGTCAAAAATCCCTCTGGGAAGAGTATCACCCAAGCAGTGGCAAAGCATTTAATAAAGAGGTAGATATCTCCTTAAGTTATTTATGTCATCAGCAAGAACAAAATGTTAATTACCTGCTTGAGAGTAAGCAAGAAAGAGAGAAAAAGAAGTCTTTTAAACTGAGAAGCACAGAAATCACTAGTGTGTTTTGAAACATTTGATAAAAGTTACAGACTTAGGGAGAAAAAATGTGTTGTGTCTCCAATCATCTTCCAGCTGATGAAGGATGCACATTTTCAACTCGGTTACTCTGGCTCCAAGAAGTATTAATGGAATGAGTGACAAAATTCAGGGCATGGCAATTCCAGAAGAGTT